AATTTTTTTAATTAGCCAGAATTTAGTTAGGTTTCTTACCAAAAGAAAAAGAAAATTGTATTTCTATATAGCAGCAAAAACCAGAAAATATTAAAAGTATATTGTTCAGACCTTTCAGCTGGCCTGCCATCTTCCAGTTATTCACCAAAATGATGGACACAAAGGAAACGAGGAGAGACACCCAATGTGTGTTCTCTAGACCTTTTAGAAAACATGGAGTCGTTCCTTTGGCCCCATACATGGGAGTCTACAGGAAAGATGATATAGACATCGAGAGAATGGGTGCTTTCCAAAAAGGAATGCCCCACGAATGTTATCGTGGCAAAACTGGAAGTCTGCAGTGTTACCCAGCATGCTGTTAGCACTGTTGTAAACAAACGAGCGAGATTCTTCCCAAGAGCATTAATGTACATATTTAGCATATTAAGCACTCTAAGAGCCAAGATAGCTTCCTGAAACACGTGAAGGAAAATGATCAGAAAAAGGAGGAAGCCAAAGAGAAAGGTATCTGAGTTCAGCTGAAGGCCCCGGCCTGCTCCACCCGGAGAAGCACACCTGTGAGAACCAGTGGAAAGGAGCCCGAGCTGCTGGAACCTACTCCCTATAAATTCATGGCGTAAGCGATGTAAAAAAAATTCAAGACATCTGGACTGTAAAAAAATACAGACACACACATACGTACCATACTATAAAAAATGAAATACCTAAGAATGAACTGATGAAAGTTGTGCAAGATCTCTGGCAGGAAGCTGTAGAAAATCACTGAGAGAAATTAAAGATCTAAATAAAAAGAAAGCTATATTACTTTTATAGATTGGAGACTTCAGTGTTGTAATGACCTTTTATCTCCCCATGTTGATCTACAAACTCAATGCAGTTCTAACCAAAATCCCAAAAGGCCAGGAATAGCCGAGATACAGTGAAAGAGAACAAGGCAGCAGAACTGGTTTTAATGGATAACAGATAACGAAACTTCATTCTGATAAAACTGTAGTAAGTTAAAGACAGTGTGGTACTGGTGGAAGGGTGGACAAGACCACCAGTGGAAAAGGATATATAGCCCAATAACATGCATTAACAGGTGCTGCTTTTGTTTTTTTAAAAAAAAAAAGTCACTGCAAAACAATATGGAAAGGACAGTATTTTCAGTAAATGGTCCTGGGGATATGGGAAAAAATTAACTTGGAGATACCTCATGCTTCATACTATATAGAAAATTCCAGATTGGCCTAATTTTGAGAGTTAAAACCAGAAAGTTTATCTTAAAATATAGGATAGGAAAATGTCATCTTGGCCTTGGAGTACAGAAAGTTTTCTTTGGTCACAAAAGGCTCTAATCATAAAGGAAAATATTGATACACTTTGGTTACTTTGAAAGTAAAAACTTCCATTTTCAGAAGACACCATTAAGAGTGAAAAGCAAGACAATGGGTGAGAGAATAATAACCGACAGAGGACTCGTGTACCGTACATAAAAACTCTTATGAATCATTAAGAAAAATGTAGCAAACCCTGTGGGAAAATGTGCCAAAGATTTGAGTAGGTACTTGACAAAAGATAAAATCCAAAAAGCTAATAAACACATAACAATATACTCAATCTTGTAACAATCAGGGATTGCAAAATAAAACCACAAAAAAAATACCACTGTCTATCCACTGGAAGGTCTGATAATACCATGTGTTGATGAGGCTGTCGAGCGGCGGAGTGTAAATTGGTATAATTTGGAAAGTAGTATGTATTGAAGTTGGACATGTGCGTGCCTACGATGCCGCAGTTCCGTTCTTAGAAATACACCCAGGAGCCATTGCGGGAATGGTCAAAGCAGCATTATTTATGGTAATGAAAAATTGAAACCAGCCCATATCCATTAACAGTGGAATGAATAAATAAATCATATGCATGTGATGGAAAAATACACAGGAAAAAGAATGAAGACAGCTATAACCATTAGTCTGAGTGAATCTTACAAACATGTTGAAAAAGCCAACACTGAAAACTACGTATCGTATGATTCCATTTATGTATTAATAAAGTTCAAAAAAAGGTAAAATTAAACTGTAGTGTTTAGAAATGACTATTTGGTGGATCGATAGGAGGTATAGAGTGATTACCATAACCATCAGGGTAGTGAGGTGAGCGGAATGAAGGGCAGGGTTTGTGGTCAGAAGGGGAAATGCAAGAGGGGCTTCCTGGGTTGCTGGCAGTGAATTTCTTGGTCTAGTGATTGAAAACTTGCTTCTAGACTAATCCTTTGCATATCATCCTTGGTCTTCTTGGTACGCAAAGGAGAGTGATTCCAACATCATACGTTGGGAATTGTACAGTTCAAGGTTTTTCATATTTTTAAGGCTTTTTTATCGTGTTTTTTAAAATTCTAGTCGCCACACATTTCTAGCCCTAGCATTCTGTAACCAAGGAGACGCCCTACTTTTAGCCTGGCACGGTGCTATGCAAGTGTACCTTTTAAAGAAATATTCCAGGTTGAATATTCTGTGTATTCTTAGATAATATTCAAAAGAAGATGAGTGGTCCTGGTGATAGAAAAAGGCTAAATTTTTACACATTAAAATTGCCTGAAAGTCTTAAGTATATATTTTTTGAAAGTCTTTGTTTCTTCTAAACGACAAGCTGGAACTGCCGTTGCCGTATATGTAGGCATGTACAGCTTGAAAAATAAAAGGTAAATTTAAAAATTTCTGTGTAGCTAATGTAATTTTAAAGTTGATCAGCATTTATCTTAAAGAGTATCAAGTATACTCAAAGCATTTAGATAGGCCAGTTTCGTTTAAAAGATAGATAAATAAGGTGTATCTGCTGTAATGGGAGAC